CTTGAGTCTGTGCCCTTTTGTCCTACTGCTGGTTGCCTGGGAGGAGAGACCAACCCCCACCTGACTACAACCTTCTTTCAGGTAGTTGTAGAGGGTGATAAGGTCTCCCCTTTTCTCCATGCTAAATAACCCCAGCTCCCTCAGCCTCTCGTCATAGCACTTGTGCTCCAGTCCCTTCACCAGCCTCGTTGCTCATCTCTGCACCCACTCCTGCACTTCAATGTCCTTCCTGAACTGAGGGGATCAGACATGTCCACAGGATTCAAGGTGTGGCCTCACCAGTGCCGAGTACAGGGGAAGAATCACTTCCCTGGTCCTGTTTACAACGCTGTTCCTGACCCAGGCCAGGATGCCATTGGCCTTTCTGGCCAGCTGGGCACACTGCTGGCTCATGTTCAGCTTCCTGTCTATCCAAACTCCCAGGTCCCTTTCTTCCTGACTGGTCTCTAGCCACTCTGTCCCCAGCCTGTAGTGTTGCATGGGATTGTTATGGCCAAAGTGCAGGACCCAGCACAACATCCTCATAGACAAGCTGGTGGAATATGGGCTAGATAAGTGGACAGTGAGGTGGATTGAGTAGTGATAGAACTGCTATGGTCTGAGGGGGGGTGATCAGAAGAACTAAACCATCTGGAGACTAGTGGTGTCTGGCTGAGGTTGACACTGGTTCCAGTACTGTTTAACCTTTCGTTAATGACATGGATGATGAAGTAATGTGCACCTTCAGTAAGTCTGCAGCTGATACAGAACTGATGAGCCAGGTGTCTGTGCTACCATCCAGAGGAACCTGGACATCCTGGAGAACTGGGCAGAGAACAAATTCAAGAAGTGAAATGTTCTGGTGAGGAACAACCCCATACACATGCTGAGGGTTGAGCACCTGGAAAGCAGCTTTGCAGAGAATGATGATGTTGTGGTCCTAGTAGACAAGAGGTTGAACACAAGCCAGTAATGTGCCCCTATAGAATAGAATGCCAGTAGCTGCTAGGGATGGATTAGGAGAAATTATCCCAGCAGGTCAAGGGAGGTGATCCTTCCCCTCCACATCTGGAGTGCTGGGTCCAGTTCTGGGCTCCCCAGTACTAGAGGGATGGACATACTGGAATGAAACTTGTGGAGAGCTACTAAGGTAATTAATGGACTGGTACACCTGTCATGCAAGGAGAGGCTGAGAGGGCTGGAACTGCTCAGCCTGGGGAAGAGAATTATAGGATGGTTTGGGTTGGAAGGAACCGTAAAGATCATCTAGTTCCAACCCCCTGCAATAAGCGGAGACACCTCCCACTAGACCAGGTTTCTCAATGCCACATCCAACCTGGGGAGAAGAGAGAAGGCTTAGGGGTTTTTTTTTCTTCTGATAGGAGTGTTTCATGGAGATGGAGGCAGCCTCTTCTACGTGGAGCCTGATGGCAGGATGAGAGGCTGAGGAGAGCACACTGAAACACAGGAAATTCCATCTGAACACAATAAATCAATTTTTTACTCATAGTGGTTGAACATTGGAACAAGTTGCCTGGAGAGTTTGTGGAGATACCCAGACCTAACTGGACACAGTCCTGGGCAATCTTCTGTAGCTGACCCTGCCTTAAGCAGTGAGGTTTGACTAGACAGTGTCCAGTCTTTCAGCTTCAGCTGTTCTGTGCTTCTGTGAGTTAGTCTTTCTCAGCTAACCCAGTCTGTTTATCATGAGGGGAATGGGGAGAGCCAGAAGAGAAAACAAGAATGCAGTGTGGTGATTTGGGGTTACCATTAAAGCTGCAAGTCAAAGGTCTGGTCTGACCTGTGTAACCATTCTATAGAAGTAACAAAATGCCTCTTCTTCTTGCATCATCTCCTTTGATTGTTACATCATTAGGCCTTTTTTGCTGAGGTGCAAAAATGCTTCACTAGTCAAATTGCTTAAAAGGTTAATTGATGTGGAAATCAATACAGAGAGAGATCTAATCATCCCATTACTGTAAGCTGACTGGACTAAAGATACAGAGCTTGCTGTGTCAGGGTTGGCTGTAGGGGAGAGGTTTTAACTTGGAAGATCAGAACTGATGGAGAAGGACCTTCCTGCAAAGTTGACTCTGACTAGAGCTGGCAAGTCCCGTGGTGGTGACCACGCTGTGTGTCCCTTGGCCAACAGGAACCCATAGGAGTACCCTCCTATGAGCACTCCCTGTGTGTGTCTGAGGAGTCCCTCAGGAAACAAGGCAGCTGAGAATAAGATGCAGCTAGAGCAATTTTCCTGGCAGGCTGCTGGCAGCCTGGCCATCTTTTGTGGTACAGCCCGGCCCTGGCCTGTCTTCCTGTTTCTGGTTTCATGGATTTTGTGTTGGAGGCAGTATTTGTGTGTTTCACAGAGACATGCACAGGAGCAGAACTTTGCTCCATCATAGTTCATTTTCCAGAAGACCAAAATGCTGAGACTGATTCTTGTCTAGGCTTTGTCATGTCCACTAGCGGTCTTGAATTCCCAGATTGTGAGGGGAAACCCCATGGTTAAACATTTGAAATGCCTTGCCCTAGAGGTCTTCTATTTTTAAAGTCTTATCACATTTTAGCCATCAGCATTTCAGTTAACCACTTCTAACTTTTCATCAGTCAAGTTCCTTCTGAAGAATTAGATTTTAAATACCCTGAGAGACAAAAGTCAGATTAAAATGCATTTGACATGACCAGTCATGGTTTGCTGGATACTGTATTTGGTGAACTAGACTGTCTCCAGCTGCTCTGGATTGATAAGAATCCTAGAAATGGGATTAGCTAGGTGAATGTGCTGATCTGATAAAACCTGGAAGTGGCAATAAGACAACAGATCACACATCTGACAGTGACTTGGAGGGGTTGGAATGATGAATTACATCAAGCAAAGGTCAGCACTATGTCAACAGGCAAGACATGTTATCCAGTTGTCTTATGGAAGCTATAATAAAGTACACGTCTGTCCCTGTTGTTCCTTTGCTTTCTATCATTCTTTGACTCAGGTCACTATTTTATTTTGACAATGTTGAGACAACCTCTTTTGGTTTGGCTGTTTGTTTAATTTATGAGCAGATGATATCTAAAACTTCAAATATGAGTCATTCTAAGCCTTTCCATCAGGGTGAATGAACACACTTAGCACACATGTACACAGACAGGGAAAAAAAAAGCAGTTCCTAAAATGTCATGTGAATTTCTTTTTTCAGTCACTTCGGAGACAGCACTGATGGTACTTGCTCTCTGACACACCGAAATAACTGCTTCACTCAGGTAGGTATCATAAGCTGGAGAATTCTGCTTTCCTCTTTAACTTGCAATTTATTATTCTTCATTCCTGAAAACCTCTCTCCCCTCGAGTTCCCTCTTCCATTTTCAAACCACATTGCAGCCCCTTTAGCACTCTTGAAACACAGCGTGGGCAGCATCTTCCTATCGATTCATCCCTCAGTTTGCTTTGGAGAAGGACTTGTATGACTATCTTTACAGCATTCCTTGATTTCCTATCCCCTTCATACCATTTTCTGTAGCTATATGGGGAGGCAGCAAGATTCAGCTTTGCAGCACTCTTCTCCAGTTGTCTCTGTAAAAGCCACTTCTTCGTGTATCAGCAGGACCACAGGAAATGGAAAAAATGTGTCAGAATTTTAAGCTAAGCCTCTTAGCAGATATTACTAAAAACCGTCAAATTCCCATGTTTGTTACAACTGTTTATCTCATTTTCTTCCTGGTGAAGCAGTTCTAACACATATACATTGCTCCACATTTGGACTATATGTTATTCAAGAAAGAGATTGACGGTTTGAATTTCTTTTTTATTAGTAATAATTAGTCCGGCACACAGCAACCCCTGACTGGCATTTAAGTATTAGCCTAACAGAGGTTAAAAGAGAGTCAGTTGTCTTATTACTGTCTTCTCAGTTGCTCCTGCAAGCTATATTCAGCTCTTACCTATGCAGTTTCATTGCATTTTTAGGGACCTTTCAGCAACACAATGGCTTTTGATTCAGCAAGGTTTTAGTTAGCAGGGACTTCACAGATTGATACCTAAAGGATGAAGGTCAGGCTCTTTTTCTCAGTTCTATCTTGGCTTTGCTAGTTTGCCTTTCCTCTCTGAATTTATTAATGTCTAAATACAAGAACAGTTGCACAATTAACACTGTTCCTCTATATTCTTGCAGTTTGAATACGTCACTTAAGTATGCTGTAGCTCAGCTTCATTGTTGTGCAATAAGACACTTCTTACATCTAAAATGGCTCAAGAACATTACTGCTATTACTTGTATTTTCATTTTTATTTCTACAACTAAATATTTGTCCATTCTTAAACCATCCAGTTCTCGCCTTGCATGGAATCCTAAACCATTCACTTATTGCCTTTATCTTCATAAAGGAACCAGCAGAGAGCTCAGAACACAAGCAGGGAGGAGGAAGTGCTTGCTGAGGCTTCCCTAAAATACCCCTTAGCAAACAGTTATGCTGTCCTGTGTGTTCTATTTATAATGTCTGGAAAGGGGAGCAGGGTTATTTCATTAAGACAAGAATTGCTTTCTTAACCTAAACCTATTTCACTGGTTATTTCTTCTGCCTGAGGAAATCACTCATTTTAAAGGGAAAAGGGACTAAAATGCTGATTTACCTTTCTGAAGAAGAGAAGGGTATACAAAGCAGGAAGTCAATCAAGACATATACCTGGGGACAGGATGGGCATGTGAAAATAGAGAGCTCCACTTTGGAGACTACAAAGAACCAGACTGGAGTCAGAGTGGATGACAGAAATAGGAGAATTTAAGTGTATAGAGCCCCCATTTGAATAATGGGGTTCACATAGCTTAGCCAGCAGAGACTGATGAAGGTGTATAATGGTCACATTAGTAAGCCTTTGGCACAAATTTGTATAGACCAGTGCCTTTGTACCTTGACAGCTCTATACTGTCACCTCCCTCAGGGATGCTTCAGTAAAGATTAAGAGAAGAATTTGGGGAAGGGGGTGGGAATTGCTACTGATCTGCTTTCTGTTTTATAGCTACAGAATGCTTCAGCTCCTGGGGAACAGCAGTTCACATGAACAGGCTGCTGTATATTACGCATCAGAATCAATTGTCTCCATTGCAATCTTCATCATCGTTTTCATCACAGGTGTCCCAGGCAATGGATTGGTGATCTGGGTAGCTGGTCTGAAAATGAAAAGGTCTGTGAACACTGTCTGGTTCTTAAACCTTGCTGTGGCTGATGTCATGTGCTGCTTGTCCTTGCCATTCTCCATTATTCACCTGGCCCTCCATGAACACTGGCCCTATGGCTGGTTCCTCTGCAAAGTCATTCCATCAGTCATAATCTTCACCATGTTTGCTAGTGTCTTCCTATTAACAACCATCAGCATTGACCGGTGCCTCCTTGTGATGAAACCTGTCTGGTGTCAAAACCATCGAACAGTGAAGTTTGTATCACTAATATGCAGTGGCATTTGGATCCTGGCCTTCATTTTCTGCTGTCCTGTCTTCTACTACCGGGACACGAACACTTATGATGGCAAAGCTGAGTGTGGGTACAATTTTGGGGATGATGAGGTGCAAGATTATATAGAGGAGCCTGTAAATGAGTTATTGGGAGAATACTCACCTTTAGCCTACAACAGTAATGACTCATGGGGAGATATCTATGAAGGTGATGATTCAGTACCCCTTGCCTTAGTGGTAACAAACATCACTAGGGCTGTCTTCGGCTTTGTGCTCCCCTTTGGCATAATGGCAGTTTGTTATGCCCTCATTGCTGCCAGAACTCGTGCAAATCAGTTTCACAAGCCTCGCAACAGGATGCTGCGAACAATTATGCTTGTGGTGGCTGTGTTCTTCATCTGCTGGGCTCCATACCATGTAGTTGGGATTCTCTCCCTTGTACCTAGTCTTGGAACAGGGCTGAGGGAGTCACTGATCCTGTGGGATCACCTCTCTACAGCACTTGCATATGCCAACAGCTGCATCAACCCCTTGCTCTATGTTTTTGTGGGACGGGATTTCAGGGCAAAGGCACGGCTATCAGTGCAAGGAATCCTGGAAGGTGCCTTTAGTGAGGAACTAACCCGTTCAACCCCTTCACAGAAGCCAGACCTCAGCAGAGAAGAACCTTTGTAGCACATTGTAATGCAGCACTTCCGATCACCAGTGAGCTATGGCCCTGCACATCAATCACACTGTGCTTAACAGCTGGTTTTGCTCCAACACAATTAATCCTGCACCCAGGACACTGTGACGGTTCAGATTGTGACAGCTAACCCCCTCCGTATCCTGCTCTAGAGAGATGGGAAGTTGGAAGTACCAAGACTAATAATCTGAGGGAAAACTAGTGGACCAGAAGACACAGTATTTTAAAGAAGAAAGCAGGGCTGCAGGATGATTTGTGGTGGGGTCATGTTGTTTAACCTCTGAATTGAGATGAGAATGTTATTTTATTGGCATATGCAAAATATCTCCTGTCTCTGACAAACTGCACATAAAACTTTGATGACTTGCCTAAAATTCTGTCATCACATCTTTCCTCTCCTTTGACTGTAGAGTCTGAGGTGGGGGAGCACCTGAAGATTTCCTGGGAGGGTAGTGCTACCTTTTCCTACGGTGCATTAGAACAGCACCTTCCCCAGTCAACTGCATTGAACTGGCTTTCATGCCCTGGTAGACGCCCAAAGTATTTCTTTGTCCTGGCAAATACATTGCTGTAGAGTAGTAGCTGTTCCAACGCACATGCTATAGCTATGTTCATTAGCATGCACACACTCACTGTCTCCCCAGCACTCCTTCCACCACCAGAGTCCTAAATCTTCCTTTTATGAAGTAGTTTTGAGATTATCCAAATGTACCTAGTGCATGGCACATGAGCAAAATTTGAGCAACTGCAGTCATTGATCCAGATTAGGTAACTGCTGGACTATCAGCCACTGGGTAAAACCCTGGAACTGGATGTGATAACCTCCAGTTTGATCCCAAGGAGACGGGGAATCAGCATGTTGTGGCTCAGCCACATCAAGCTCTCTACATGACAGATGTGCTTCTTGCATCCTTCTGGCAGAGGAAGATAAAAATTTCATCTGGTCAAGCTTTCTGGGGTGTTTCCCAAGCTTGAATCTTCCTTGCTTCCCAAAAGCAGAAGCATGTTTACTAGGTACTCTATAGAAGTAGTCCAAAATCTGCTTTTTGTGTTAGTCCTTCATTAAAAGAGAAAGGTCAACAAATGGTACAAACGGCCACACAGCATTGGTACAGTTTTCACTTTGCCTTTCTGGTGAGCAGGAATTGAAAGACTCACTGATCTCAGTGCCCCAAGAATAGCCCAGCTGGAAAAACCTTCAACTCTTTCTCCTGACATCCTAAGAAGTCTCTGTCTAAAGTACATACAGGTGTGGGCTGTCCACACACACAAATTTTAAGGTAAGTAGGTGGGAACTGAGCCAACCTGATGAGCGCCGGTGAGGAAAAAAAAAAATCAATACTGGCACCAAAAGAGTTAAACCATAAACATTCACTTTTTTCTTTTTATTAAGAAAGCATGCACAAAAATAAACTCGTGAGACCACGCCCCTCTCTCCCTGACCACAGACATGAAGCACAGGAGGCCACACCAGGCTGGAGGGACCTGCAAGACCCTTCTCTGGGCCAGGCTGGCCCCTCCCCTCCCTGCAGGCCAGTGCCGCCCACCCCACCGATGTCTTCCCACACACTAACAAAGCACATTGATCTCAGGGGCAGAGGAACGAGGCTTAATTTGCACACTGACCGGCATGTATTTACATATGCAAATGAGGCACAACTTAATACGCAAATGAGGCAAATATGCAAATGAGGAGCACTTGGATACGCAGAAGGAGCCATCTTGGTTTGTTTTCCTTCCAGCAGTGTTTTCAGACTTCCACAGGGCTGGCTCTCACTAATGTCCTCTGCAAAGCACTAACTGGCACCTACCATAAGCTGTCTCTCTGGTGCCACTTTCCACAGAAACCTATCACACATGCTTCCAAGCTGTATCATTCCCATCCTGAGGCAGCAGAGATAATAGCTGACTCCATGATGAAGCTGTCTGGGATTCCTCATTTCTCTTGGAAACACTCAATGACGAACTCCCCCCCAAACACACACTTAAAACAAAAGAAAAAAAGAAAAAAAAAAGAAAAAAAAAAAAGTGTTGTTTCCCCCCTCTTAGTACAATGAGACCATGTCCACTTTCCTGGCAAAGATCCAGTTTTCGATCGGTTTATCCCTACAGCAACTTTAAGAAGCAATGCTAGTTCCCCACCTTCCCACAGTCAGAGTACAGGTTATTACTTTACTCCCCTGCCCCAGGTCTGTCAAATGGCCATGATGGTCTATTTCCATGTTTGTTCCCTTCACTGGTAAACAGGGAATAACAGCTGGGGGGAGGCTTTACAAAATATTAAGAGGAAACAAGAGGTTTGACAGAACAGAGCCATACCAGAAAAAAAGGGGAACACAGGACACAGCTTTGGGGGAGGAGGCATCTCCACACTCACTCCTGCTCCTGCACCTTTTCCACCTTCCTGATCTGCAAGTGCTGACAAAACCCATCCTTCAGGGTTTACACTAGAGTCAGTCATCTCCCCAGCTAAACTGCAAGGGGTCTGACCCACCTTCCTCCCTTCTACACAGTCTTTGGCTGTTCAGTTTAAAAACCTGACCCACTTCATCCTCACCTCTTACAAAAGCCGCTCTCGAGGGCCTCCCGGTTACCTGACCACAGGGTCCAGCCCTTGACCAGCACTCCCCCAGTTCACCCCTCCCTGCACAGCAGCTCCCTCCGCCCACCACTAGCCCATCCACAAAGTGGGAACCACTGATGGGAGGATGTGCACCTACACAACAAGACACCTGTTGCTGGCACTCAAACCACAGGCAAGGACAGTCTCCAAAGAAATATAGGGGGCAGAGGGCCAAATAACAACTGGACAAATACTGATGGGAAAAAACTTCCAAATTTGCATATGCAAGTAAGAGCCTCACTACATATTTTGAAGAAGGGCTTGAAGGGGTGGGGGGTGAAATTAAAAGCTCTGGGGAACAGAATTTGCTGAATCACACGTGACACCCCTGACTGCTTCTTTTACCTGATGGGTATGTAAGCTTCACCTGGAGACTGCAAAAGGCAGTGTAGGAAATAGGTCAGGATTCCCTCAAAATCTCTCTCAGTCTTCACAGATGGCACAGCATTCTGAAACCCAACTTCTCTGCTGAAATACCACCTCTGCTACATTCTCTGTTCTCCACTCTCAGGTCTGTCCTCCCAGCTCAGCTCAGCTCTCCCTACCTCAGGGATTACCCTCTCCTTGTACTCGGGAACCCCACTTCTTTGCTTGCTGTTCCTGCTGGTGCGACAAAGTTCACAGAGCTAAGATCACCCCTCCAAGTGTCCCTTCAACCCCCTGACCTTTACAACATTTACGAAACAACATAGCTACAGGCTCCCAGGGTCCACTAGGCTCTC